GCTAGATTCTATTCAACTTTTAATTCAAAAAAATAATTGGAAACAAATATTCAAACTTTCAGACTCTAGAGCTTGGGTGAAAATGTTATCCGTTTTTTAGATTTTTCAATTTTTTTTATTTCAAACTTTGGTTAGAATTAAGACACGTAAAGACACAAATTTTATATGTTCCTTTAAGTCCATAATTATTTTATTAACTGTTAGACAAAAATAATAGTATTACTTATTATATTGTTTTTCACGAATGGTCTTTTGTTAATATTTCTGTTAAAAACGTGGATAAAATTGTAAATTTACGCTCATCTCTCTTCTCAATTAAGCTTCTTCCATCCTCTCGCATTTCTTTCCCAAACTTGTCGTTGAATTTGAAGCTTTGAACTCAAACAAAAATTATCACTCCTTTCTCAATTGTTCGTCTTTTTGGTGGAATCCAAAATCGAAACCAGTAACTTTCATGGATGATTTGTTTTTTTTTTTTGCAATTTTCTGAGACTAACCCATAAAACTCATCCACGAAAGTTATTGGTTTCGATTTTGGTTTCCACCAAGAAGATGGAAGATTGAGAGAGGAGTGATCATTTAGATTTTGGGTTTAGAGCTTGAAACTCAGCAACAGGTTTGGGAAAAAAGTACGAGATGAGGGAGGAAGCTTAATTGAAAACAGAGAAGCGTGAATTTACAATTTTATCCATGTTTTTAACGGAAATGTTAACAAAGGATTATTCAGGGAAAACAATATAATAATTGGGGAATAAATTATTGATATTTGATATGTAAGGACTATATATGTAAAACAAACTATAACTAGGGACCTTTTATGGAATTACTCTTAAATATTACTCCGTAGAAAACTTTAACATCCAAAACTATATGTTAACATAAACCCAATTCTACTAAATTTAAATATATTGTTTTGGTAATTCGTAATCAAAATGTGTCATAATTTGATTAAAAAAATTAAACTCTTGCAATCTTTTAAAGACAAGTAGTAGACTTTGTAGACTTTTGGGCGCCAGCTTGTGTTATATGCGCGGAGTATGAGAGAATTTTTTAGTTTTTGTATGTGTGTGGCTCTTTGGTTTGTACTCTTATTCTTTTTCTTGTTATTTTGTACTCTAAGTAAGTTTTCGATTTTTTTTCGTTTTTTCATTTTAAATCTTTGAACCAAACTTAGTATAAACCAAGTTTTTGCACTTGCACTTCAAAGAAAAATTTCACAACCCTTATTCAAAATTTGTGCATGAACACAGAAAAGTTGTCTATGAAAATATTTTTGCCCCTTGTTTTATTTATGGGCTTTTATATGGTTGGGTTAATGGTGTGGTTCTGTGTGTGTGCTTTATTTCCAATTTTGGGCTAACATATGTATGAAGACTCTTTTAGTAGCGTAACAAACATTGAAAGAAATGAAAAAAACAAAAACGGGAAATGAAGAAGCCCATTCCTTACAAAAATAATTGGGCCAACTTAAAACTTGGGTTCGCCATATTGTGTCCTACCAGGCTACCAAAAATTGACCTTTGCGTTCATTATTGGTCATTAGATATTACCCTCTTTATTCATCCTTTTTTTTTTAAGGAGTACTAGACGTCTACATAGTACATACAACAACTACAATTAATTTTTAAAAACAAAATTTGTCTATTTTACGAGGACAATAACTACATTTTGGTGAGATTAGTGTGATAAAGTCATGTGAGCTGAGGTATATATCTATTTTAAGAGATCCAACATCATCCTAAGACTAAAAAAATTATGAATAAAATGTAGATTTAATGGTGGAAATCGCAAAGAAACAAAAGATTTTAGTGTGAGATCCAAACCCAAAAGAAAAAATGACAGACTATTTTTGGTCAAACCAAGCCAAAGTGAAGTTTATTCATATTGTGTTTGAGGTTTTAAAGTGTAGAAGCAATTAGAGAAGCTCACCATGTTTTCTCTCCTAAAAAAATAGCTTAAACTACTTCTATTTATATATTACGGAGTACTTAGGCTACTAGTGTTAGAAACCCCAATGGGCCGCCAAATGGGCATGTTGTCTCGGTCCAGTAAATTCCCTAGTTGGGTCACGCTCAATTACTCTATGTATGTATGACTCATCGGGCTCGGAATGCGTCGTTCCGGCCGGTCACGATATCCTCCGATCCTCAAACTTAAGGACTTGCTGCCCTTATTGTTGTGAAATGCTCATTAGGCTCGGGACATGCTGCATACTCTTTGGGGGTTTCCATCAATTTTTTAGATCGGTCTAATATGCGTTAGGACTTTGGGGACCTTTTTACATAAAAAAAAATCAATTTTTTTTTAAATAATAAAATGGATACTTTTCTTAAGCAGTAAAGAAATACTTATTTTAATCATATGTAGGTCTATGGTGGACGTTAGGTAGGTCCACCAAAGAATTTGCCCAAATAAAAAGTCCCCATTAGACTATGATGAGTACATATCAACAACACCTACCTAGCTACAATAGAGATGTATGCTTATATACAAATGGAAACCCACATCATGATTCGTGCTTAGAAAAAAATATCAAATCCATAAAACCGAAAGAAGAAAAATATCAAATCCATAAAAAAAAGAAGAAAAATGAAAGAAGAAGAAGAAAAATCCTATGATGAATGCATTGGGCCGTGGCCCGTGAAATTGGTGATGAATCGTGCATGTAGGAAGCCTTGGCTGTCGCTTAAGATGTTGTGGGCTTCCTTCATATATAGCCCATAATAAATTGATTAACTTCATAATTTGCCCACAACAACAAGCATCTCTTTTCGTTTTTTTTTGTGATGTTGTCTTTTTAATGGGGATGCATCTAATTAATTTTCTTTATTTGTTGTGAAAAGATGATTTTTTTTAGTTGCTCCTATACGTACCCATCAATGGGGATACTTCTAATGAATTTGTGTGTCATGAAATAAGATGTCTGGCCTTGTTAATTAATTAATCAATTAATTAATTAATACTCCCTCCGTCCCTAAATAAACTTCCATTTTTGACTTTTTGAGGATTTAAGGGAGGGATATTTTTGTGTTGACTTTCCAAAAATATCCTTGATGTGATGTGTAAAAGTAAGATGTGATAGGTAGATTATTAGTAAAAATGTATGATGTGATAGGTAGGGTATGAAAAAGTAAGAAGTAAAAAGGGTTTTTTTTAAGGGAAAAGAAAAGTTTATTTGGGACAAAGAAAAAAAGAAAGAGAAAGTTTATTTAAGGACGGAGGGAGTACATGGGACCTCAAATTAGTTTGAATGTAGATTAGAGGTTTGATGTGTGTGTATATATTATTGTTTGAGGGAGCTGAGCATATATAATTTAAATAAACAGACTAGATAGATAGATAGATAGATAGATAGATAGATAGATAAGAACCACATACAACTATACAAGTAGGATGGGAGTATTAGGATAAGCACCCATCCACCTCATTGTCTTAATCCTCTAATAATAATTTCCATCACCTCTATTCTTCTATCATACTCCCTAATCCTATTTCTTTCTCTTTAACACATTGTTTGGATAGTAAGCTAGGAAATGAAGCGAAACAAAAGTATCGAGTACTATTAATTAGAAAATACTCTTTTTCTTAAGAAAAAAAGTTTTAAATTTGATTTGACACAAAATTTAAAGAAAATTAAATGAGAAAAATGTGTGGCACATTCAATATAAGAGAATTTTTTTGTTAAAATGACCAGTTTGTCCTCTATTTACTTTTCTTTTCTCCTCATTTTCTTTATTCTCTCATTATATCTAAATAATATACAAAGTAAATTTTCTTCTTATTCTCAAATTTTTCTAAAAAAAGGCTAAGAGAATCTGTATGTATATATGCAACTGTATTTTGTTAAGAAAATTGTACGTATGCAAAGTATGCACTTTTTAATTTAGTCATTCATTATTAAATACAGATTACTTCACTCAAAAAGATACGAACCGTGTACTTTGAACTAGCTAATTTAGTCATATCATTCATTATTAAATACAATGTATTTTCTGATAGTTCATGCATGGATCTTTATTTGGTTGGAAACGATTAGAAGATGAGACTTTCGGGGATAGGGCTCATCTTTTTGTTTTGTTTTGTAGAAAACGAGGAATAATAATGTGGGGTTCTTATAAATAATTACCTACAATTTTGTAGGGTTGGTCCATAAAATTTCAAACCCATCTCTAATAACACCAAAAGGAGACGGTTATTGAAAAATTTAAAATTAGTCCCGATATGATTTATAATATATATATATATTCCGTATTTAATTAGACATATTTTGATTATTAATTAAATATAATTAGTATTAGGTGTTGATAGAATATTAAATATATACTCCCTCCGTCCCATGAAACATGTGATGTTTTGCTTTTTGAAGAGATTTAAGAGGGTGTATTTTGGTGTTGAATGTCCAAAAATGTCCTTTGATGTGATGGGTAAAAGTAGGATTTAATGGGTAGATTATTAGTAAAAAAGTATGATGTGATAGATATGGTATGAAAATGTAAGGGGTAAAAGTGACTTTTTAATAAAAATGAGAAGTGTTTTATGGGACAGATGAAAAAAGAAAGGAGAAAGGTTTTATGGGACGGAGGGAGTATTAGATTTAGAACCCCCCATGCAATGTTAGATGTCAGGCCAGATCATGAAATAGACTTGTAAAGAGAGGTCAAATAGGGCGCGTCGACTTAAGCAAAGAGAAGGGGGGGGGGTAATATAGGAAATTCCCCCACCCCCACGAATCTTCCTCTGTGGCGATATAAATAGCCCGAATTGAACAACTAACCCGCGTCAAAAAAACAGAGAGTTGAAGAAGAAGAAGAAGAAGAAGAAGAAGAAGAAGAAGAAGAAGAATTGAGAGATTAGAAAAATGGGTGATGAAGTGGCTATATATGTTGCTGATGATGATCATAATCATAATGGTTGGGATGATTGTGAATACGATTTGGAACCATCATCATCAATTAGTAGTAGTAGTAGTAGTATACGTATATGCAGAATCTGCCACGAGGCAGAAGAGTTCATTATTATTATTAATGGAAGCTCTGCTGCTGCTGCTGCTTATAACAATAATAATAATAATATAATGGAATCTCCTTGCTCTTGCTCTGGTACTATCAAGGTATGTACTCAATCCGTTTCACAAAACACTTCCGCCCTAATTTTTCGATCAAAACACTACTTGTATCCTCTATATATATATATATATATATATATATATATATATATATATATATATATATATATATATATATATATATATATATATATATATATATATATATATATATATATATATATATATATATATATATATATATATATATATATATATATATATATTCCACTTAATATGGATGATGAGGCATATATATAATGTTTATGACTGTATGTATGCATATATGCAGTTTGCACACAGAGAGTGTATCCAGAGATGGTGCAATGAAAAGGGCAATACTGTTTGCGAGCTTTGTTCCCAGGTAGGTCTCATCATATATATATCATCTTCGATCTATATATATATATATATATATATATATATATATATATATATATATATATATCTCCATCATTATTTGTTTTCAATCTCGCCTCTTAACACAAAATTGAAACACAAATTAAAATCTGCTTCTTCGTCTTGTTGAACTTTATTCGTCTTGTTGAACTTTGAATAATATGTTCACATTCAGTTATGGTCAAAAATCATTTTTGGATGAACCAGAAAAAAAAAAGGCCTTAATTAGCTAGCTATTCCATACATTTCTTTGGCGTTTTTTCCGCTTTTCAATACCTCTCACAATTTCTTTTCTTTTTTTTCGAATAGCGATCCCGTGCGCTCAAAGGGCCTGTTTGGGAATAGCGTTAACTATTAGCGTTAGCGTTTTGAAAAAGCCATCTACGGGCAGCGTTTAACGCTAGCGTTTTCAAAATAATCTGCACCGTTAAAATTTTATCCAAAACGCTAACGCTATTCCCAAACAGGCCCAAAAAGTTAATATGAAAAAAGGCTCGTTTTACCCAAGCTAATGTTTCTAATACGGAGTATTAATCTACTAACCTTAATTCTAAACCCCTAATCCCAATGTTAATTCTCTAATTATAATCCTAATCTCAATGCTAAAAATTTACATCAACAAGGTCTATATGGGTCCGTTTGGTATACGGAATTGATAGAATTGGAATTGAAATTCCATTGGATTCAATTCTATAAAATTGAATTCTACCAATTCGAATTCATTTTTGACACTATCAATTCCAAATCCACATAATTTTTGTACTACCAAACATCAGAATTGGAATTGAAGTCCTCAATTCCAATTCCATAATTTGAATTCCGTGTACCAAACGAGGCTTAAAAGTATTTGTTTTTTTTCTTGGTCGTCGAAAAATAGGGTCGAATGTACTTTTAATTACGTAGTCATTAATTAAGACGTAGAGGCAAATAATTAATAATGGAGTATTAATGACTTATATTTTAGTCCTATTCAGTGCAAATTTTACGAGTATATTGGTTGTTGTATGCGTTGAAATGGAAGCGAGAATTGAAATTAGATTAGATTAGGTACCCCAAAACATTCCAACGAAACCGTTCTTATTACATCTGGATGCTGACCAAATAATTTATCCTTTTTACAGTATTATTTATATGATACTCAATAATTCAACAATAAAAATATTGCGGTATATATAATTCTTCACATAATACGACAAGAGTTGTCATCCATGAATTGATTGCCTCAGATTTTCTGTTAGGATCCGCAAAATTGGAATTGAATTGAAATTTGAAATTCTATGGAATCGAATTCTCCAAAATTAATAAATTTTGGAAATTAATTAAATGAATTTATCTTAGAATTTGATAAAAGAATAATTTTATTATACTTACCTTAGAAAATATTTTTAAAATATTTATTTAGCTAATTAGTATATATATATATAGTGCGTAATTTTAATTTAATTATAGGTCAAAATCGTTCCGAGTTGACTATTACTTGCGTTCTGAGTATTTTTGTCCAGTTTTGATTTTTTTCAATCAAAATTGGCAATCAATTAAATAAAGTTGGGATTAGATATTAACACAAATAATTTTACTACCTCCGTTTCTCAAAAGAGTTCCTCTTTTGACTTTAGGGGAAAATAAGAAAGTGTTAAATTGTAGTTGACTTTCCAATTTTGCCCTTGATGTGATGGGTAAAAGTAAGATGTGATAGTTTAGTTGTTAGTGAAAAAGTATGATGTGATAGGTAGGGTATGAAAAAGTAGGAGTAAAAGTGGTTTTTTAATAGAAAGGGGAAGTGTTTTAAGAAAAACAAAAAAAAAAATGAAAGAGGAAGGGTTTTAAGAAACGGAGGGAGTATTAGATACATTTTATACAATATTTTCAAAATATTATTTTATCTAATTTACATACTCTATAATTTTGATTGTATTCGAGATCAAATGTTAAAAATAATTGACTGCAAAAAGTCAAAATTAGATAAATACTCAGGGACGATATAAGTATAAAATATCCCAATTGGATAAATAATCCGGGAGGGAGGGTAACATTTTGAGAAAGTGGATAAGGAGAAGAATAATTATGACACGCACTCATGCAATGAATTGAAAGAATGTTTGTTTGTCGCTATTTAATTAATTACTCCAGGTTCTTAATTTATTATTATATTGACAAAGACGACATTATTATAATATTTTATTCTTATTTACGAGTATAATTATATGTTGTTGTTTGTTTGTATGTAACTTTACAGAAGTATGAACCTGGATACACGGCTCCTAAATTGGTTGGCGCAACCACTACAGCGGCCATTAGGTACGCACTTTGATCAATTATTTAGTTAATTAGTGACTTTTTTGGGTGCCAATCACAGTTAATTCTTAACCTACATATCATATTTTTTAATAATAATTTACCTGATATTTTACCCTATCACATCAATGGAGATTTTAAAAAAAATTGATACAAAATTATCCTATCTCTTAAATTTCTTAAAAGTTATGAGGGGGAGGAAGTAATTATTTAGAAATATACTTTTGAAATATAATATTGTTATATTCAATATTTCTACATGAATAGAAATATTTATGATCAAAATCTTGCATTAAAAGGTGTACAAAAATCGAATGAAAAGAAAGTCATGAGAAGGCGCTAGAGAATATAGTAACAATTTGTTTGTAATACATATATACTCGGTGATTAATTGTGAGTACAAATAAATTAAATGAATTATTGCATAACAACAAAGAGGGAGCGTGGAGATCTCAATAAGTTCAGAGGATGATGATGACGACGAGGAGGAAGAGGACAGCGCTTCCATTTGTTCACCAGCTGATGATGATGATGATGATCATCATCACCGCCGCCGCCGCCAACGCTCTTCCAATTCGTGTTGTACATCATTCGCCCTCGTTGTAAGCATATATGCAATTCATAACACACATAATAATTTTCGTCTCATAAAATTTTTCTCCTGTTTTTTTCATCCGTCTTAAAAAACTTTTTTTATTTCTATTAAAAAAATTACTTTTTATCTTAATAAATCTTGATCACATATCTATCACATCACATTTTTTCATTATTAATTATATTACCTATCACATTTACTATTACCCATCACATCCAATGTTATTTTTGGAAAATCAAAACTAAAATACACGTCTTTTAAATCTTTTAAAAGTCAAACCAAAAAGATTTAATAAAGAAATATTTGCACTAAATAGCATTAAAACTTAAGTCATTTTTCTAATAGCATTTAAACTGTTTTATTCTCTAAATAACACTAAATAATGTCCATAGTGTCCAGTGATGACCAACATTTACTTGAATAATGACTAATAATGGATAATGAATAAAAGTGTTACATTGGAAAAAAATTAAAACATATTTGATGCTATTTAGAGAAAGTCATTATGTTTTAGTGTTATTTACTTAAATATCACTAAAACATAATGACTTTTCCTAAATAGCATTGTGTTTTTCTTCCCAATGTAGCACTTTTAGTCATTATTCAAGTAAATATTCGCCATCACTGGACATTATTAAGTGCTATTTAGAGAATAAAATAATTTAAGTGCTATTTAGGAAAATGACTTAAGTTTTAGTGCTATTTAGTGCAAATATTTCTTAAATTAATTTTCTTTATATAAATTGCATGCAGATCACGTTGTTGCTTCTATTGAGGAATGTATACGAGGAGTTGGTTGTAGATGAAGAAGAGAAGTATGATGATCCACCATTCTCGGTTCCAACTGTGAGTAAATTAATTGATAATTACTCCACGTACTATGTATTCATGCATGCATATATCAGATGATAATTAATGAATATATATGGTGCATGCAATGTATGCATGCATGCAGGTTTTGATTCTGAAGGCAAGTGGGATATTCCTCCCCATGTTTGTCCTTTCTCGGATACTCGCCTTAATCCTCAATACCATTCGTAATTATGGTCGCCAACCCCCCCAACGCTCCTATTACTACTAAGCGGTTAGTATGTTTTTTTTTTTAATATTTGTGTTCTTATTTTTATATTTGTGTTAAAATATTTTTTTCATTCAATTATGAAGTATTTTTTAAAGCTTCTGAATAAACGAAGGATGCAATGTGGGATCGTATCGAGGAGAAATTCTTTGCGACGATGAACAAGGACGCCTCGTAGCGTACCTGAGACCAACTCACTTCCAAATGGGGCCACATCAACAGTAAAGTTTGAAAGTTTATCGGAGTTTACGAGGAATGCTCTCGGTCCCGGAAGAGCGGAATGAATAATGTTGATGTTCTGCGGCAAGCCACCGCCCGGTATCAAGACGACCAACACCAAACCAAGGTCCCCGTCGATCTTTGGAGAATTTTAAGTCATTCACCAAAATGGAAACAACTCAACAGCTCTGAGACCGGATCCTCAAAGAAAAGACCCTCCGCCGAGGTTGAGGCCGATGAGACTATCGGCTCTTCGGAACAAAGGCCTCCCTTCAACCTCGACGGCTCCATGGACGAGAACCCCATTCCACGGCGCAATAGAAGAAAGAGGTCGAAATAATGGAAACCAACCTTGATACGTTATCGGACTTTAAACGTATTATATTTTACGAGAGAAGACAAAAAGAGATCAATGCCAAAAATAATTCACCTTAATTTTTTTTATTAATAAACTTTTTTATTAAATGTTTTTTAATTGAATGTACTTCCTCCAATCCGTTCAGCCCGTTCTTGAAAATATTTCCGCTCTAATTTTTTGTGCACCTTATAAAATATTTTTGCTTTATTTTTGCTCTAATTCCAAAGTTTGTGGGTAGATGAGAGTGGAGTGCATTGATTGTAAGATCAGGTATAGTATTTTCCAAAACTAGTCAAATCTTTGACTAATAATCTTTTGAATAAAATCCCAAATATAGAAAAAAGGTTATTTGTTCACTCTAATTTATAAAACCCTCGGATTTTAATTTTTTTCTAACGAATAACAACTACTCCCTCCGTCCCCCAGTTTTTGTCCACTTTTGACTTTTGGAATTGTTCATCTAATCACTTTGACTCATCAAATTCTCTCAATGTGTAAGCCTAAATATAGTCATGTGTGATCTTGTTTGATTTGTCTTAACATATAGATTATTAATATATAATTTCTATAATTTTTTAATATACAAATTACTCCCTCCGTCCCCCTAAGATGTTCTCATTTTGACTTTTGGTGGTTTTTAAGGAGAGTTGAAAAAAGGTGAAAGTTTACCATAATACCCTTAATGAAAAATGGGTGGAGTGTATTAAATGAGATGGGTGAGGTGTAATAAATAAAGTAAAACGAAATGAGAAGATCTATTGTGGACAAAGAAAAAGGGCTATTGGGAAGATATATGGGGGACAGAGGGAGTACAAGATAAAATGGATTAAAGAAGTGCTTTGGATGGTGTGTAAAAATGAAAGTGGACAAATACTCTGGGACGGAGGAAATATTGAATAAGGTAGAATTTGGAAGGTGATCGATAGGAAATTTAATTTTGACGGATCGAAAAACCACAAAACACGGAGTAACAAACAAAAGTTTATTGAACCCCAAAATTGTGTTTCACCGTTCCCCAAGAAAAATCAGTATTTGATTCTTTCCATCTTTAAAAATTCTTAACTATTTGATGACTTCCTCCCTTCCAAATATCCTATAGTGTCTGACTTTTTCTTCCTATATATTGAGGGAAGACTTATTGTATCAATTAACAAACACAGATAATAAAATTCGTTTCTCTCTACTTGCATCAAACGCACGGTTTTACATTTTAATTGCTTATTATCAAAAGGTATGATTTTTTTTTGTTGAAAACTTTATAAAGTATGTTTAGTTATAATACAAATTTACTACGGAGTATAAGTATGTTTATTTAAAAACAAAATTTTTATTTATCAAACATTTGTAATATCTATTCATTTAAAAATTATATTTTTTTAATAGTCAAAGTAAGTATAAAAATTAATATAAAAAAGTCAAACATTAATTTTTTTAGACAGAGGAAGTAATTATTTATTTAGGCGTATTTATTTATGAGGAATTTATCTAAATAGCACTAAAACATAATAACTTTTCCTACCTAGCATTTTAGTCATTATTCAAATAAATATTTACCATCACTGAACACTATTTCTCCTTCTAAATATTATTAAGTGTTATTTAAGGAATAAAAAATTTTAAGTTTTACATTAGAAAATAACTTATGTTTTAATGATATTTAGTGCAAATATTTCTTTATTTATTTATATATGTGTGCGCGTGTGGAGAGAAATATAAACGGAGTACTCCAGTATATAGTTATATACCCGTACGTGGGCGCGTGTAGCATGGCAATTTGATAGGGAGTACTACAAATTCACACCAGGTAACATTAAAATATACTCCGTAGCTTTTAGTAGTAAACAAAATCTACGGTTGAATAATGATCGAGTAGAAAAAAGGGGAAAGAAATCTTTTGTTTCTTTTGCATGAATGATAGGGAATTAAATGAATTGGATTCTTTCCTTTTCTTCTTCTTCTTCTTCTTTTTTGTTCAGTTGCTTGTGTGTTATACTATATTCCTTTTTAGGGTTTAGGTCTTCTTAATTAACTTTCTCCGTTTTGTTTTTTCGTCGCCAAAGGTGTCCGACACGGTGGTGCGTGGAGCCCTACAATGCGACACACACTCTCTCTATATGACATCGATCTGTTTTGGCACTCTAAAGCTCATCACCACTCCAAGTTGTAACTTGTAAGTCATTAAGCTTTTATTTCTGAAACATGTAGCATGTAAAAGTGAGAATCAGATGAAAGGCCATTTTAATTTGCATGTGCTTCTCATCATCCTTTTAAATTTGTAGATGAGTAGTAGCTCCCTGCATGCAGAAAAGGGCAATTTATTCCTGCTGGAAGGATTTTCTATTTCTCTGAATAAATTGACCAAAATTCATTGGACCATATCATGGCGAAGCATCAGCAGCGGCAGCAGCTAATTCCCCCATTAATAACAAGGAGGCCTATTTGCTTTTCTATCACCCTCGTGCGTATTACATAATACTCCTTACTCCCTAATAAAAAAATTGAAAAAATAACTTCTTTTTTTCATATTCTTTTGGTTGGACGTATAAACATGCATGCTTGAGTGTTGTTTGTGCATTGTTTTGTGCAGTGCTTTGTGGCAGTGGCGATTACTGTTTTGCTCATTCTCGTGTCCATTAGGGTTGCCGATGGCATTAAGGTAATTCATTCAAATGCACATTTAAATATATAAACTCTTGCATCTCAGTTAGTTGTCGTGTTCCATACATATACTCTAATATAACCGAGTATATTATACATGGAGTATATTATACATGGATACATTACCGAGTACGTACTACTAGTAGTATTGATAGTAATTTATTATATGATGCTTTAAAAAAAATGCTAGATTAGTATTAGTAATGTATAACACGCAGTACTAATTGCTAATTACAAAACCTGAGCGTAAAGCCCTATCCGTATCTTACTGTTTTTTTTTAATGTGGAGTACGTACGTACTGGGGTATAGTAGTATTAATATTTAATCCTATAGTATGGAGTGACTTATTCTTTTTTTTACACTCTTTAATTTTTAACATTTGTTTTCAATTATAAAGGGATGTTCTTTTCGATTGATAACCTTTAAATATACAGTTTTTTTCATAGTATTGAAATTTTGTAGAGATGTGTGTGCGTGTGTGTATTAGGGACATGTAATTAGCAGGGGAGGATTAGGGAGAGAAAGGCGGCTCTGGAGGGACGTAATAACAGGGGCGGTTCTGGTGGGGATGAACGCGTGCATGACGGTGGGGTGCGTGGTGGGATTCACCTGCTGGAGCGTAACGGTGACGAGGCGAGAGATGTGGGGGCGGGCGGAGCGCATCAGGCAGATGGAGGCTGCCCGGGAGGCGGAGAGGAAGAGCATGAGAAAGATTGACGCGTTTGCCGGAGCCAGCCACGAGGTCCGCACCGCCCTCGCCGGCATCACCGGCTTGATCCACATGTGCCGGGCCGAGGTCCCTCCCGGCTCCTCCTTGGATTTCAACCTCAACCACATCGACTCCTGCACCAACGACCTCAAGAGTATGTCATTCATTAATAAACTATTATTATTACTATATTGTAGCTAAGGTTTCATATATATGCTGTAATAGTAGTAATGTCTTTCTATATAGGCTTGTTGAACTCAATCCTAGACACGAGCAAGATTGAGTCGGGGAAGATGCAAGTTGAAGAAGAGGAGTTTGATTTACAGCAAGTGCTGGAAGATGTTGTGGACCTGTACTATCCCGTGGGCATGGAGAAGGGGGTGGATGTCATATTGGATCCATGCGATGGGTCAGTTGAGCATTTTAGGGAGGTCAAGGGGGACAGAGGCAAGCTCAAGCAGATCCTCTGTAATCTCCTGTACAACTCCATCAAGTTCACCGACCAAGGGCATGTTTCCCTTCGCGCTTGGGCGGTGGCACCAAAACACCCCACAACTGGTGGCGGCGCCACTAGCATCCACAATCGCAGTGGGAACGGCAGGCCTTTCAGTTTCGCTTCGCGTCTCCTTTTCGGAAGCATTTCACGCGGTAAAGCTGCTGCAGCTGCAGCAACAGAAACAGGACTACTTGAAAACAGTGGCAGGGATGATGTGATGGAGTATGTATTTGAGGTGGTTGATACAGGGAGAGGGATTCCCAAGGAGAAGCACAAGTTTGTGTTTGAAAACTACGTCCAAGTCAAAGAAACAAGTGCGAGTGATAATCATCATCATGGGCATTTAGGTCACGGTCTAGGGCTCGGCATTGTTAGGTCTCTAGTGCATTTGATGGGCGGGGAGATTGGCATCATCGACAAGGAAATAGGGGAAAAGGGGACTTGTTTTAGGTTCAACATATTCTTGGGAAATCCCCGTCATCCTCCGGGTAATTCAACAAGACAAGATATCGAGTCGTCCCCATGTATTTACGGTTCCAAGTGTTGGCCCTCATCCAGAGTTACATCACAGGTTGTTCTCTTCATTCAGAGCGAAGAAAGGAGTGAAATTGCAAGGAGATTCCTAAAAAACCGGGGGATTAAAGTCACTGTCATTACCAAGGGATATCAGCAGTTGAGCAAGACACTAAAGAAGATTAGATCTAAGCTTTTCGTTCCATCCAAGAGTGGTCAGCCAACAACAAGTAACTCTCAGTCATCAGCTTCTTCTACACCTTCATCCTCAAGGTCAAGGTCAAGATCAAAGGAGGTGGTACACGACGCTAAGGATGGAGCACGAGATACTATGGTGTTGATGATAGTAGACACGAGAGCAGGGCCATTCCCAGAAGTGAGTCGCACAGTTGCGGAATTCCAAAGGGACCTACTCCAACTAGGAGGATTTGCTAGAGTTGTTTGGATAGACATCTCAAGAGCACATGACAACAGGGAGAAGCTGCTGCTTCCCTCCACTGATCTTGTCATGTCCAAGCCTTTGCACGGATCCAGTTTGAATCGAATTTTAGAGCTTCTTCCCGAGTTTGCATCATCAACCAAACGTACGTGTTGAGCAATGTATCTTCAATTTCTGCATGTGCCTATGTGACAATGAATAAGCCTAACATGACTGCCTTTTTTTTATTAGCTTCCCCCCAATCATTCATTCCTTCAGGAGAGATACAGGTGGTAATCGACAAAGAAAAAGATTATGATGAGTGTGGTCCAAGCACGAGAGGCGACACTGCTGCACAAAACAAGCCATTGCAAGGGAAAAGAATCTTGATAGTTGACGACACTCTGTTGCAGCGCAGAATATGCATCGCGGTAGTTTCCCAACTAGGTGCTCAAAGCTACACCTGTGACAATGGTGCAGAAGCTGTAGAACTTGTGACTGAGGCACTACAGAATTGGGATAACAAACACACTTTTGATTACATCCTAATGGATTGTGAGGTAAAAAGTGCAACCTTCCATTTTTAAAGTTCTCTGCTTCATAAATGAATCACCCCACCATCTAAAAAGTACTACTCCGTGTAAAAAACGAGACTTCTTTCTTTTTCTTTTCTTCTTTTTTGAGGGTGTGGGTTTTGGGTGGGTGGGTTGGTGGGGGGGA